CTGTATTTTGGGGCAAATCAATACTGGAAGCCACGCAGAAATGTAAGTAAGCATTGACTATTTCACCAGCCCTCCAAAATAAGTCTATCAGCTGATTTTCTCCCATCTGGGGTTGGTGTTTTGAATGGCAACATTTGCCTCTTGAACTTCATCTAAACAACAACACAAAAGTACCCCCAGAATTGGTATAAAGGGGGCAGAGTAGCCCCCTTCCCCACCAGAGAATCCATCTAGCCCAGGGAACAGACAATTTGACAGACCAGGAAAGAGAGAGAGATATTTTCTTGTAACCACTCCAAGTTTATTTCCTGCAAGATATTAGCCATAAATTATAGCTTTTATTCAATCTTCTTGCTATTTTTATAACATCTAGGACATTGTTCCATTTGCCAAAGCAGCTGCATAATTCAGAGGTTCAGAATTATGCCAAAATGATGGTTATAACTGTGAACTCGCTCAATCCGTAAATGGTGGTTTGCTATTTTCTAAAAAAAACCTTCCCTTTGCTGTGCTAATAACACTTTGCTAGCTGTGGATTGATTTGGCGTCACCTCTGGGTGTGTTCACACAACAGCCTTACCTGAATCTGTTAACTGGTTCATTCACCTAGCAGGCAAGGCTCAAGATAGCGGTTGGCATCTTGTGGGAATCCAGTGTGTTGGATTAGCGCATCTTTCCATAGCTAAGTGAAGTGTGTTCTGCAAAGGAATTGTCCCTTATGTACAGCTAGACTTTAAAGTTGGCCTAACTCATTTTATGTTACTTGAGTAGCTTCATCGCCTTCCTCTTCTTGGCCTGTCCAACCTGGAAATGAGTTTCTTGTGCATCAGATTGAGTTTGGGTGGAGAAAAATATTGATCATGAAACTTTCTCATACAAAAAATTTCCAAGGTTTAAACCACCGTGGGGTATAGCTGGGAAAGAGGTTTTTTTGGAACATCTGGAGATCTTTATTGGAAGACGGTGAATGCCACGTGTGACTTGTAGAAGGGACCTTCCCAGGTCCTTTTTCCACCAGAGATCAGAAAGTTGTTGAGCCTTTAAATCGAGGGATTGAATTCGTTGGGTGGACAACCCATAACTCTGTAGATCAACGACTTTTGGTACCTGTTAACTCTTGATTATCCTATTTGGGATTCCACCATTTTGGAAGTTCCTCCATCCCAATCAGAGACGGACGATTTTGTTACCTTTCGCACGTCTTCTGTTGATTTGGGCGGATTCTCTTCTGTCAATTCCGTTCTCTAAAAGCCACCATGAACTGCTTCCATTAAATATTTAATTGCCTCTGAAGACACCTTAATTGCAATTAGCTCTTCACCTGGAGAGCCCTTTGCAACAGAATTGGCCACTGTAATGGATGGATTGGGGTGAGAAGTTGCAGATTTAGGAACCAAATTTTCCATATGGTGACGGAAAGAAATTGTGTTTTGTTTTTTTTCTGAGAGAGCTGGAAACTTTCAATCTAAGTTCCTTATCCCTGAGACATGCACGTTTTTGCCAGCCAAAAACCTTGTCAGCTGAGCACAGTCACACAAACTTATTCTCTGTTTACTCAGCAAGTTATATGCATTTAATACTGTACCTTCAGTTAATTAGCTGGACACGCTAACGTTAATTTAAAGCAATAAGCTGATTCTTAATGAAACTATTTTGGGGGAATCTCTTGATACACAAAAATCATAAGCTAAACAAATTGGCTGGTTTCCAGGTACACACTCACTGGCAAAAAGCCAACCACACGGAAGCTAACTATCCTTCTTGTGGCTTGGTGCACGTTCAGTATATCAGAAAATTGGACTTTTGAAATCTGTCTTGCGAATCCTCAAAAGACATTTTTGTTCCCTCTTGCAAAAACAGCTTTTCATTTTTGATCTCAGCCTCAAGGTGCTCCCGGACATCTCATTAAGGCATGTTGGCAAAATTAATTATATGAAATGAGACCGTTGGAGTCTTCCTTTAACTAGATTTACAGAGATGGACGTGAGAGGGATATAAGAATTCCAGCAGCTCAATGATTCTCAATTTAAAACCATTTGATTCCTCCAGTTCATCAGACGGAAGGGGAACAATTTTATTTTATTTTTACTGACAACTGATTAAATTGCATTTTGGCTGTTGATGGCAGCACCTCCACACAGCAATCTTTTGGTTTTCCTTTGATGGCTTTGGAGTGGATTTTACTACTGGAAGTGAGGTGGAGGAGATTGCTACTATTGTGTTATGTCATTTCACTTTCTCCTTGGCTGCTCCCAAAGTAACATTTATTTGATTGATGTGGGTCCCTCAGGACTGTTGAGAGTAGGGCAGTATGCAAGTTTTAAAGCCAGATGTCCAGACTGGATTTGGCGTTCTTTGTCCACCTATTGAGTCCTTCCAAGGACCTGGGATAGGCAGATGTTGTGGTTTGATGGTGTTTAAAGGTATCTTTGCAGGATGTCAGCTGTTCTGAGTCAAGCTCCCAGTTGCAATTGACTGAGAGTGTTATTGTCAAATGCCAATGGTGTTGAAATGCTCAGATAATACATTACTATTATTAGGGTTCATCACACAGCCTGAAGTTTAGGCTGGATTTGGCATTATGTCCATCTACAGTATCTAATCCTGAGGATCTCAGGCAAATGTGGATGTTTGTTGGTGTTCAAGATACCATGGCAGAATATAAGCTGGTCCCAATTATCATCATAAGTCAAGGACTACCTGTATGTAGAATTTTTTTGGTTCTCTCTGAGGAATCACCCAGGACTTCATAGGAGTTAAAATCTGAAGCTGGAATGGGTGACTCATTTCTTGTTTCTCACCGTTGGCCCTTTTTAATGTTTAACTGGAACACTGGGAAGTTTTAAACCATTAAACCATTACAGCAGAGCCAAGGGGAAACCTGAATATAGTTGAAAATTCATCTGGAAAGGACAGGGCTGCTGTGTTCATATTAGCCTTCTGAATTATAAATTTGCAACTGGCCTTATTTGATTGCAAGTCTGCTTTGATTTTTTTGAGAAAGGCACCTATGCAATTGCCCCAGAGGTTTTTTGTGCCAGAGTGGATCACAGGCTAAATATTTAGTTCCCAGGCTGGTAACGTTTGACTGGAAAGCTTAAAATATTTATCTTTGATTTAGACCAGAGAGGAAAGAAGGAGGGAGGGAGAGGGGGAGAGAGACAGAGAGAGAAAGAGAAGACAAAGACACACACACACACAGAGAGAGAAACAGAGGGGGGGAGAGAAACAGACAGACAGACACAGAGAGAGACACACAGAGAGAAACAGAGAGAGAGAGAGAGAGAGAGAGAGAGAGAGAGAAAGACGGGGAGAGACAGAGACACAGAGAGAAAATAGGTATTTAGTGTGTCATATTTTTTTTTTTGAAATTCAAAAAAAGCATGCAAATTTGGCATCTTGCAAAAGTCATGCATTGATAATTAGCTTGTTCCTTTTCCAGCTTTGCAGCAAAATCTTGGCACGCTGGCCGTTGCCGTATTTTTGGGCTGCTGCCTCAGCTGCAGGAGACAGAGCCAGATTTTTCCCCCCCAAGCACAAAGTCCCACTTTGATAAACTTATTTAAAGTTTCCAAATCGCGATGAACACATTTCACTGAAGTGAAACAGTGAAGGTTGAGACCGGGCTAAGTTCACAAGGTGCGCAGTCCAAGCTATGGCATACTATATCTTTTTTTCCCCCCCCACAATCCAGATAGTCTTCGACTTAGCACAATTTGTTTAGGGGCCGTCCAAAGTTACAAGGACGCCGAAAAAAAAAAAAAGGCAAATTATGTGCTTATGCCTGTTGTGGCATCCCCGCAGTCCTGCGATGAAAATGTGGGCACTTGTGTTTACGACGGTTTGCAGGGTCTTGGATTCAAGCGGTCCCCCCTTTGCGACGTTCTCAGCTGGATTCCAAGCAAAAGGCAATGGGGCGAAGCCAGATTTGCTTCATGACCATGTGGTTCACTTAACAACGGAAGTGATTTGCTTCGCTGCAGGAGCAGCAAAAAAAAAAAAAAAAGCTTATAAAATGGAATAAACTCATTTAACAACTGTGGGGCTCAACAGTGGAAATTATGCTCTCAGTTATGGTTGTAAACGCGAGGACTTTCTGCAGCCCTTCCCAATCCATACCTCTCTGTCCCCAAAATACTAAGTTGGCTCAGTTTTTTCAGAGCTGACATTCGATTAAAAAAAAAAAGACTAACATAGTTAGTTCGTGCTAGCCACCTCGGGCCAAGGCTGGCTTAGAATCAGACTGCAAGCAGGGAAAGCATTGAAAATACTGTGACGTCTCTAAAACAGAACCAGAACAATGTAGAGTCTCTTTCTGTATCTTTTTTTTGTTTGTTTGTTTGTTTAATGGAAAGAAAATACATCCATTTTCTTTTTGCCAGCGAATCTTGCGATCGATTCCTTAATTCAATTTCTGTTCTCAAAAGAGCTGTGCCCATTTGCAAAATCACCCCAGATCAATCCAGACGTCTGGAACACTCTGTTGTTGGCTTCGGATAGCGGGAACCTCTGTAGGGTGACGCCGTTCACAGTCCTTGAATTACGACCACCGTGGAGCCCAAACTTTCCGTTGCTAACCCGGACAGTTGTTAAGTGAACCTTAATGCGAAGAAAGCCAAGCACACACCATTTCTTTTTTTCCATGTTGCAAGTCATGAATCCATATTGTTTTACAGTTTTTTGTGTAATTAAAACCCCCCCCCCCCCGAAGCCTTGTACGGCTAGAGTCCCAATTTATATCCTTTGTGCTCAGAAATATTTAATATTCCCGCTGTACATTTATTAGGAATTGATAGCACCGAAGATGGAAAGATTTTGCTGTTCGCGAACGATCTTTGCTAATTGATGGAGTGAAGAAGGGCTCCAAGGGAGAGCAATTATGTTTCTGATGAAATATGTGAATAAGAGAAGAGTTTAAGGCTTTGGAAAACTCAACTGAAGTGCATGAATGTACCAAGTCGTCCATAAATACTTCTTTTTTCTCTCTCTCTCTTTTTCAGTCACAGAGAAAGAAGTCCAGCAATGGTAAGTATTCAATGTTATTTCAGATTCTAAGAATTATTGAACATTTGTACTTATACAAACCAATGGGTTGGAACCACAATGCCCATAGTTCCTTCTGGAAATTGGATTCCCTGTGAAAAGCTACAGCAGCCCAATTGCAAGCAGACTTCGAAAGCTTGAAATCCACACACCTTCAGACTAATCTAGGTTGAGAAACACTGTCGAAAAGTCACAGAAAACAGCCGAACTGGGATTAAAAATGGTGCTGCTGGTTTTCTTGGAGTCTTAGGGTAAAAATAAAAATAAAAAATCAAGTGTACCCATTTATCTTTCTGACTGCAGGTATAAAGGCTTTATTAAGGACTGCCCAAGTGGACAGTTGGACGCAACTGGATTTCAGAAAATCTACAAGCAGTTTTTCCCGTTTGGTGACCCAACCAAGTTTGCAACGTTTGTTTTTAATGTCTTTGATGAAAACAAAGTGAGTTTGCTTTCCTTCCCACCTTCCTTCCTTCCTCTCTCCCTCTCTTCCTTCCCATACCATATTATCTGATTCCTCCCTCCCTCCCTCCTTCCTTCGTCCCTCTCTCCTTCCCTCCCTCCTTCCTTCCTTCCCATACCATATTACCTGATTCATCCCTCCTTCCTTCCTCCCTCTCTCCTTCCTTCCCTCCCTTCTTCCCTCCTTCCCAATTATATTATCTGATTCATCCCTCCTTCCTCCCTCCCTCCCTCCTTCCTTCCCATACCATATTATCTGATTCCTCCCTCCCTACTTCCCTCCCTCCCTCCTTCCTCCCTCCCTCTCTCCTTCCTCCTTCCTTCCTTCCCATACCATATTATCTGATTCATCCCTCCTCCCTCCCTCCCTCCTTCCTTCCTCCCTCTCTCCTTCCCTCCCTCCTTCCTTCCCATACCATATTATCTGATTCTTCCTTCCTTCCTTCCTTCCTTCCTTCCTTCCTTCCTTCCTTCCTT